CAGGTCCTGTCCCATTGGGGTTGGGGACATCCCTGTCCCACTGTGGTTGGGGACATCCCTGTCCTGTCCCTTGGGGTTGGGGACATCTCTGTCCCTTGGGGTTGGGGACATCCCTGTCCTGTCCCACTGTGGTTGGGGACATCCCTGTCCCTTTGGGGTTGGGGACATCCCTGTCCCACTGTGGTTGGGGACATCCCTGTCCTGTCCCTTGGGGTTGGGGACAACCAGGTCCTGTCCCATTGGGGTTGGGGACATCCCTGTCCTGTCCCATTGGGTTGGGGACATCCCTGTCCCTTGGGTTTGGTGCCATCCCTGTCCCTTGGGGATGTCCCTGTCCCTTAAGGTTGGTGACATCCCTGTCCCTTGGGGTCAGTGCCATCCCTGTCCCTTGGGGACGCCCCTGTCCCCATCCCCAGGACCAGCTCGTGATGCCATGGGGTGGCGTCCCCTCTGTCCCATTGTGGGGCACATCCCATGTCCCCTGCGGGGTGCAGGACCCTGTCCTGTGTCACAGGGCCACCTCCCCTGTCCCCAACCCTTGTCCCCTGTCCCTCCTGGGGCCATTCCCTGTCCCATGTCCCCCATACCCAGAGCCCTTCCCACATCCCTGGGACTGTCCCACCCTGAACTGGGGGCCGTGTCCCCAACCCCGGGCAGTGTCCCCAACCCCGGGCAGTGTCCTCAACCCCGGGCAGTGTCCCCAGGCGTGGCAGTTGTCCCCTTGTCCCCTCAGGGAACCACGAGACGGACAACATGAACCAGATCTACGGCTTCGAGGGCGAGGTGAAGGCCAAGTACACGGCGCAGATGTTCGCCCTCTTCAGCGAGGTCTTCGAGTGGCTGCCCCTGGCCCAGTGCATCAACGGCAAAGTCCTGGTGAGGGGACACCGAGGGGACATTGTCACTGGGGAGCACTATATGGCAGCGCCCATTGGCTGTGGTGGACCACTATTTGGCAGCCGGGGTTGGCTCACTATCTGGCAGCCCCGTTGATTTCAATAGATCGCTATTTGGCAGGGGGGGCTGGCTCACTATCTGGCAGCCCCGTTGATTTAAATAGATCGCTATTTGGCAGGGGGGGCGGGCTCACTATCTGGCAGACCCGTTGATTTCAATAGATCACAATTTGGCAGGGGGGTCGGCTCACTGTCTAGCAGCCCCTTTGATTTCAATAGATCGCTATTTGGCAGGGGGGTCTGGCTCACTATCTGGCAGACCCGTTGATTTCAATAGATCACAATTTGGCAGGGGGGTCGGCTCGCTATCTGGCAGCCCCGTTGATTTCAATGGATCGCTATTTGGCAGGGGGGGCCGACTCACTATCTGGCAGCCCCGTTGATTTGAATAGATCACAATTTGGCAGGGGGGTCGGCTCGCTATCTGGCAGCCCCGTTGATTTTAATGGATCACAATTTGGCAGCGCTTTTGGCTCGCTATCTGGCAGCTGTGCTTTGCAGTACTGGATCCCTTTTTGGCAGCCACTGAAAAATGGGGGGCTTTGACCCCCCCCCGTCCCTGTCCCCCTGTCCCTGCTGTCCCCAACGTCCCCACGGTGTGTCCCCACCCAGATCATGCACGGGGGGCTCTTCAGCGAGGACGGGGTGACCCTCGATGACATCCGCAAGATCGAGCGGAACCGGCAGCCCCCGGACTCAGGTGGGACGGGGACCCCCCCCGGGATGTCCCCAAGGTGTCCCCAAGGCGAGGGGCTGAGCTGTGACCTCCCCTGTGTCCCCCCACCCAGGGCCGATGTGTGACCTGCTCTGGTCTGACCCCCAGCCCCAGGTGAGCTGTCACCCCCCCTGGGGGTGTCCCCATGTCCCCAAGGTGTCCCCTGCCCTGTCCCCGTGTCCTGGGGGTGTCCCCTGCCCTGTCCCCCTGTCCTGGGGGTGTCCCCACATCCTGGGGGTGTCCCCATGTCCCCAAGGTGTCCCCTGCCGTGTCCTCCTGTCCTGGGGGTGTCCCCCTGTCCTGGGAGTGTCCCCACATGCCACGGGGGTTGTGCTGTGGTGTCCCCAAGTGTCCCCAAGTGTCCCCAAGTGTCCCATCCCTGGTGGTCCCCCAGCCTCGGTGGCCCACGGGGGTTGTGCTGTGGTGTCCCCAAATGTCCCCAAGTGTCCCCAAGTGTCCCCAAATGTCCCCTGCAGTGACCAGATGGGCAACAAGGGCTCCTACATCCACCTGCGGGGCAGCGACCTCCGCCCCGACTTCCACCAGTTCACAGCAGTGGTGAGTCTGGGGGCACTGGGACCCCCAAAATCTGCCCTGGGACCCCCAAAATCCCACCCAGGGACCCCAAAATCTGCCCAGGGACCCCAAAAATCTGCCCAGGGACCCCAAAATCTGCCCAGGGGCCCCCAAACCCACCCAGAGACCCAAAAAATCTGCCCAAGGACCCCCAAATTCCCACCCAGGGACCCCCAAACCTACCCAGGGACCCCAAAAATACAACCCAGCCACCCCCAAAATCTGCCCAGGAACTCCAAAAATACAACCCAGGGACCCCAAAAATCTGCCCAGGGACCCCCAAAATCCCCCCAGGGACCCTCAAAATACAACCCAGGGACCCCCAAAATCCCACCCAGGGACCCCAAAATACAACCCAGGGACCCCAAAAATCCACCCGGGGACCCCAAAAATACAACCCAGCCACCCCCAAAATCTGCCCAGGAACTCCAAAAATACAACCCAGGGACCCCAAAAATCTGCCCAGGGACCCCCAAAAACTCTGGGGGTCTCAAATTTATGGGGAGGGGGGGAAGCCCAGG